GACATCGCCGGTGTTGGTCTCGCAGGTGATGATATGGCCCTCCGCCTCGTGCAGCACTTTGATCGGGATTCCTATCGACATTGTCTTCCAGAGTAGAGCTGATCAGTGGTTCAGTGTTTGTCTCAAACCGTGTCTTCAGTGTTGGCCCAAAAGCAGATGAAAGCGTGAATCAAACGATAGTACGAATAGTACGGCGGCTGAGAATCCATACAAACACACAATAGACTGGTATTGTATGTATGGTTGCGTAAACTCCCAGTGTTTTGCCCTAACGTTCCCCAAACACAGCGTTGGATAACATGTGTTATAAATGTGAACTAATGGCAAACTCCCTGTTGTAGTAGTAATGATAATGTTTGGATGTTTCACCACTACTATTAACAATCAGTTTTAACTATATGAAAGTTTTTTGCCACTTATTTCAAATTGAGAGCTAATTTAAATACATTTTTTTAAAATAATCTTTTATTGTATGAAAGAAATGATTATTTGTATAGAAATGGCATTTATATACAATTTTTGGTTAACATATCTTATAATTATATGTATATAATAGTGCGATAATGAGACCTCATAACTGAAAATGTCACTAATCATTGATTCAATGATAAGACGAATGAGGAATTGAACATAAACTGAAGGAATTGTGTGCACATCTAGAATGTGTCAATTCATTGGTCACTTCTATATCTATTGTTTAATCACAATTTACAAATACATTATCAACTTTAAAGTATCACTCAATATGGTTACAATTGTGTAAATAGCAATTTATTAACTATTTTATTATATTCACTCTACGATCTTATATTAAATAGCATTTCTATAGCCTATAGGATAAGGTTTTAAAAGTAGCAAAATATTTATCTAATGATGGTGGGAAGTGAGCTCTGGAGCGTGCTTGCTCAATCTTATAAAACAAAAAGTTTTATTATGAAACTGTGACTAAAAATAGTCTTTTCCGGAAACGATTTAAATGGTGTACAAAGAAATGAATGAACAGTTAACCCATTCCTGGAAATGTATACCAACTCTCTGTCCATACAAATAATGATTTTCTAAATATTGATGAAATTTTCATAAATGTGTTCATTAGTTCCCATCCATTAGCGACTTAGATATTTATCAACGTTTAATTAATTTATAAAATATTTGTTTAACTTTGTGTCAGTTTTTAACATAAATATCATTTATAATGTGTGATAAAATATAACAATAATTAATTAAAAACATTAACCAGCTCATTTATTATAAACATATTTTTTTTGCAAATCTGTGCCAAAAATATAAGAATACAATTTGATTAATAAGAATATTTTTACAAATACAAGAATATAAATGTTTAAATGAAAAATAAATGAATATGTATTGTATTGACTACCATAATAACATTAGTCAAACATTTATGTAAAGTCAGCCACAGGTACAGTATATGATTACTATAGTGTGCAATCAATTTCATACGAATGGCACAGAATAACAAGAATTTAGCAGTTATTCTAAAGACTTTAAGACTCTTCAGATGTCTCCCAAACTTGTGTTCATAGAAGGAAGGAAGCGATAGAGAGAGAGAGAGAGAGAGAGAGAGAGAGAGATAGTTATATTAGCAGTATGGACATGTATAATAGTAATATATTGTGCATGGTGCTGTACCAGGGGCATTTATATGGATTTAACAATACATAGAAAATGCCATTGAATTGAATGCAAATTCTGAATGAGAGAGAGAGAGAGAGAGAGAGAGACTCTATTCATTGAATTCTTGGCCAAAGATATATATAGTTGACACAGAATAGAGAAAATAAAGTATGGCTTCAATTGATTATGTGAACAGAATTTCAAAATTTCTGCATTTAAATGAATTTCTAATATAATTAATAGAATTTTAATTAAAATATATTTAAAATATTAGTTAATATAAAGTGAATTGATAAACGAAATGGACAGACGAAGATCTGTATAGCAATAGACATACTTTTTGGTTTGAATAGTTCAGTGCATTTGATGTGATTTTTTGAGCAAAACTTAGTTTTCTTCCATATATTTATCGATTTATTTTTGTGCGTAAACTGAGAACTCAGACCAATATATCTCTCATTCAAATGTCAACAATATTTTTGCTATTAATTAATGTATGAATTAAATGAATGAAATGATAATTTCGACCACAAAATGGTAAGCAATTCATTAATAATCAAAAATATTTAAATTTTTTGATCATATAATTTGGAAAATATATGCAAATCTGATGAGCCTTTAAGAAAACTGATGCTTTGCTTTGCAATCAATTGGAAAATAGATTTTAATTACTAAAGCTTTACAGCAAAGCCTTTGCTCGCAATATAATTATATTGTATTGTTTGGATGTACAGAATATTTAGCTCGTTTATCACACATTTGTTTATTCAGTATATGATTCACTAGCCATTGATAGTGTTGTTAGTTCTGTCATATGACGTCATATAACACTTTACATTACAGTTATATGACATGTAAAGTGTAATATAAAAATTTTATGTTACAAAAAGTGTAATATAGCTCTGGCGCCATCTATTAACTAGGCAATTATGATATTGTTATTAACGCTATTATTTTAAAAATTAATTGAAACACAATTAAAATAAGCATATAAAAGTATGTTTCGATAATCTATGGCAATACAAGTCGTAAATGTATTGCAAATTTAGCCATGATTTCTAAATTAGCATTATTTAAGCAAAATGTGTAATTTCTATATTACACTATGTGACGTTATATGACGTCATATGACTGTAATATGTAATATAAAATTCTATATTACATGTAATTTACATTACTAGCCATTGATTGATAGATTAATCATTGCGATTGTATTGCCACATAATTGGTTATGATTTGTTTGGGAATTCATTAATCAATTTAATATCTTAATTATCATAAAACCAATAGGAAAATGAGCAATTTTTAATATCATCTAGCTAAATTTAGAAGATCTGTTTTGACATAGTATACATTGGATTCTCTATGGAATATAACTTTAGAAGTGATGCAGACCTTTGAGATATATTGTATAGAAATGCATAATAATATATGATTTGCATTTGATTCATATATTTATAGACATATTTACTAATTATACACATTATATAAACACTGAATTCAATGTGATTGTAATAAAAAGGAGAGTTTGTGTGGAAATTTATATGTGTTTGTTATGTAAAAGCAATTGGAGTAACAATTGATTCATTGGTCTGAATAATGCATTAATTTTCTTAAGCAAATAAACACTTATTCTTCATTTTATGCTAATTATATGCTTTTTGTATTTTGGATGCAATTCTTTAAAGCCTATTGTAAGCAGTTGTTAGATATTTTCTTTATGTAAATTATCTTTAATATTGATTACAATATTTTTCACTCTATATTTGCAAAAATGCATTTTATTATGAAATTTTTCGCATTGAAAATCATTGAAAGCTATGAAATAAAACAAATGGTATTTTCCTTTTTCTTCATCTCATATTCTATACGATATGAGAGAGACTTTGCTTTCAATGCATTTAATCTATTGAAGAAAGAGAGATATAAAACTATTTCAGTTTCTTTGTTCGTCTCATTTCAATCAATCATTTTATTTTTCTTTATTACTGAATCCAATATTTCAAGTGTTTCACATGTTTTACAGTTATGTTTAATATAATTTAATATTTTTATTGTTCACTCTTATAATTGAATTTAAAGTTTTAAATAAATGTCTGAATCGATGTCAGTATATAAATGTAGAATAAAAGGTACGAAAATTTGTTAGAAAGTAATTCTTGATTTGTTGTTAGAAATGCTCGAACGCTATGTTATATTGATTTTCTGTATCAAACAAGTGATGTCTATTGAGGCGAACCTATTGATGGCATTTGCGCTCTCAGAGCACGCAAACAGATTCAACTCAAAAACACGATATAATAATTCCCTATAAAAACAATTTTCTTATTTATCACATTAACCGATATATTATTATTTCGTTTTTGTTTTTAGTACTTATTTTTGCTAATTTTACGATTTTTATCCGCATATAAACATCGCTTAAATGAGATACTAAACAGTGCTATTAATACGAGTGATATATCATTTGTTGAATTACAACAGTTTTTGTGGTCATTGATATAGTATTAAATGTCTGCTCCGAAACTGTGTGTGTATTATATTTAGATCAATAAAAGTTGTGAAACACAATCCTATTCTCACTATTCTTGAGAGGAATTGAGGAGAAAAAGAGCGCTAACCATAAGATACAGTATGTAATGCATGTAATGTGTGTATCGCTGCAGCCGTACATACAGTACAGCGCCAGTCGTTTTGGGGCTCAAAACGCATAGATTCTGTCGATTCCGTGAACAGAGCAACCGTTTTATACAACTCCTAAACCATTACATTCTATACGATTCCAATGTATGGATCAATACATTTAAGACCAAAATAATGATCAAATCCATTATGTATTTCATTAATACTTATATATATTGTAAAAATTGTGATGAATATATTTTAGCTTTGGTTGGCGTATGATATATGGGTTAATCACTGATCAATCACTGGGTTTACGACTTAAACACAACATTATATGAAAATGGTTTGTCGTATTCGCGCCGACGTTCACCTAATCTAATAAACCGATAATGAAATTCACAATAAACTCATTTCTCGTCTCGTTTTGTTGTGATAACGAATAATAATAACATAAATACAACCCATAATACCATTAATAAATAGCATTGCAATCAAAACCACAATTATTATTCAATTCGTGAATTTCTAGTCAAAATCAATAAAATCTTCTGAAAATAATAATGATTACCAGAAACTGAATTGAATAGCCATCGAAATCTCGTAATACCGACACAATGTTCTATACGGTGGCCGCGGCCGCCACCTATAGCTACGGCGGTCACCCGCCGACAGCTATATCCCCGTCTGGCACTTACTCTCCCGAAGAGATCGAGTGTCTTAAAGACCGCAAGTGGTGGGCGTTTCTATTGTCCAGTATATTCACGTTACTCGCAGGTATTTTTATCATAATTACTGACCAATTTTGACATTATATTAATATGTTGACCCATTTTACAGGCATTTTCATTGTATTAATTTACCGATTGATTGAGTTCTTGTGTGCGGGCGCCTCGGGTAACAATCAACAATCAAATGCGCCCAACAGTAAGGCAAACAAACAGGCGATGTCTAACCTCCAGGTGAAAGACGTGAAACCCGCCAATTTAGCCGCCGAACCGTTGCCGTTGACTAAAGACTTGGGATGGATGACAGAGGCTAAAGACTGGGCCGGAGAACTCATTTCCGGCCAATCAACTACTGGAAGGATTCTCGTAAGCAAACCATTATTCATATTTCGCATTCACTTTCAATACTTCACACTTTGAGATAAGAGTAAATCATATTTTCAAATGCAATCCACGAAAAAAAAATGTTATCGATTTTTATGTATTGACTGATGTTTGCAATTCTTTTTAAATGTGAATTTTCTAACAACTTTCAGGTGGTTCTTGTATTCCTCCTCTCCATCGCATCTCTGGTGATATATTTCATCGACGCCTCGAGGTTTGTAGCAAATTATTCCTCTATTTACTATTATGTGATATAAATACCAAAAGTCCACTAATAATAGTAGCAATAAAAATGAATTGTGATTTGTTTGTGGAAAAAATTAATCAAAACTAATTGTTTGTTTGCACTTAACCCACACTAACATCAGTATCGGACCGCCAACTCGTGGGTATGTAATCCATTCATTGGCATGTTTTCGGATCTATCGTTCATTTATTAGATATTAAGATATAATAGATTAAGACAAAGACCTAATGTCTTGTAATATGAAACAGTGATAGCGTAGAGAAGTGCCAGAAGTGGAACGACAACGCGACACAACAAGTAGATCTGGCCCTCAATATCTTTTTTATGGTCTATTTTTTTATTCGGGTAATTTTAATACCATTTGAAAACCATGTCTTAATTCAATTTATTATTTATGACTTGTTTCTATAATCAATTCCCTCTTCTGTTCAGTTTATCGCCGCATCCGATAAGTTGTGGTTTATGTTAGAGTTGTATTCATTCGTCGATTATTTCACGATTCCTCCGTCTTTTGTGTCCATATATTTAGACAGAACTTGGATTGGTTTGTATTCTTACTTTTTATTATTATTATTTGTGTTTCAAACCTATCATCAAATGGTAACCAATTGTTATTTTATTCAAATAGGACTGCGATTTTTGCGCGCATTACGTCTCATGTCTTTTCCAGATATATTACAATATTTAAATGTTTTAAAGACTTCTTCGTCCATCCGTTTGGCCCAATTGGTCTCTATTGTAGTGTCCGTGTGGTTGACTGCCGCCGGACTCATACATTTAGTATGTGTTTGATTATAATTTGACATTTATTTGTGATAAGAATATAATTGAATTGCATTTATAGCTCGAGAATTCTGGCGATCCATTGGATTTCACAAACGGACACCCAATCACTTACTGGGAATGTGTGTACTTTCTCATAGTTACCATGTCTACTGTAAGTTCATATATGTGTTTTTATTATTCAATCATTTTCTAATATATCACTAAAAAACAATTATTGATAATAATAATAGCCATTTATATACAACTAATGGGGTATCGAATAGAGTTAAGTTTGCATTATATTCTGTATAACGCTTTGCAATCGATATTAATAACTGAAATACACTTAATGTATGGTTAATAGCGAAGTGAGCACTGCTTTGCTTTGATTATAATATAGTAATGCATTTCTATTAATATAATATTATACTATTTTACACAATCATTGCATTTTATATACTGTATTATTCATATAAATATAGTGTATGTCATATAACTTATGATTGCACTTCATTTTTCGATAGTTTTCAAATTTTAATATTATTAATTCATTGTATATTTCAAATTAGAATTTTTATTATTGCATTATTAGCCACAAAATGACATTAATTTTGTGTCAAATATAAATCCATAGCTATATATACAGTGCAGTAAATAATTTCTATTAATACCAGTTGTGATGCATTAATAACTAAGAATTAGTAAATTATTGGCTTAAATATTAACATTAATATTGTATTAAAATATACAACAGAATAATGTTATTTACAAAAATATCGATCGATCGATAATAACATAATTTCCATATAAATTACATTCAATGCATTGACGCTTCAAATGCTAAAACTTTTCACTAAAAATTAAGGCTAAATATGGAAATTTTGTGTTTTGTTTTATAATTAAATATCGAGATTAACATTAATAGTGTGTTTTTATACGACTATATCCTATCGATAGGTTGGTTACGGCGATATACACTGTACGACAACACTCGGCCGTACATTTATAGTACTATTTATATTAGTGGGTTTGGTAAGTAGCACCAAGTACATTCAGTTGCCACAATCCTCCTTGCCAATTCATTGTTCAACCAGGAGGGCCCCACCGATTCCCCCTTTACTTCGGCTTATTTGCAATTCATAATTCAGTTTAAATTAGATTCATTCATATCATTACATCCGTTCCCATAATTCATCAAATCTATCAACCATTTGAGTCTCTCTACTCTTTATGATAACTCTAATCAGTGCAGCTCTTTCTCTGTCACGTGCTTTGTCTCTATCTCTCTATCGTCTTATACCGTAATATATATACAGTATATGTGTCTCGAAAAGTGTCCCAACAGTTCGTCCGAACGCCGCGTTCTCTCTCTAATTCTTCGCTAAAATGTCCGTACATTTCGTTTAATCATTACTTCTTCCCATCTATTACTCCGCCAACTCTCTCTCTCTCTCTCTCTCCCTCTCTCTCTCTCTCTCTCTCTTTTATCATATCGTCGATGCAATCCATCCCAATGTCTCTCTCTCTCTCTCTCTTTTCCTTTCTCTCTCTCTCTTTCTCTTTCTCTCTCCCTCCCACTCGATCTCTGTTTCCTCCTTTTGTAACAATGTGTGTCTAGTTATCTATAGATCATACTATTAGATCACTTCCCTATCATATTCTGTGTCATTTCATCCATCCTTTTATATAAAGCATACCATTCCTTCTCATTCCTCCTTTTGAAATGATATATAAATTTAAAAATTACTTTAAAAGTGAGTCCATTTGTAAATTTGATTACAAATCAACTCATTATAAAACATATATTATATAATTGTTGCTATAATTATGCCATGAATTGACTGTCATTTTGACGGCCAGAATGCGAGCTTCAAAATGTTGGCTAAATGATTATGAAGAGCTCATACCAACACACTATTGACACCCATTTTCATTCATCTACAGGTGATATTTGCCTCTTGTATTCCTGAGATTTTAGACATAGTGGGACGAAGTCGTCCTAAATATTTTGGACAATTAAAGCGCTTCCCAAATAAGAGGTGATAATCGCATCATTCATTCAAATGTCTTCGTTTACTCATAATATAATAGTTTTAAAATACATTATCTCTCAACCAATGGTTGAGTTCTTAATTAACATATTTATAATTAATGTAACTTAAAATATACATAATTGTATATACATTATAATGATATAAGCGTTGAATATACACTTTTATATATAATAATGATATTAAATGTATGCAAATATTGTGAGACTGAAGTGCAAAAGCAGTGCAAAAGCTGCATCTGATTTGAAGTACAGTATTAAATGATATAATTTTCAGTGTCCTTTCAGTTTATGCTTTAGTTTTTCTGTCCATTTGTCTTAAAATGTATTTATTTTGAATGCGATTTCTCAATGAGTTTGTCTCGAAAACAATCCAACCCTAACGCCTATCCCTATCATTGAATCTGTGTCCCAATGGCGAGTGCAGTGCCCGTCAGTGCAGTCCTCCTCTAACCCCCTCTACGCCATGTAATTGCCAGTCAATGGGGGTCTAGTTCTATACTAATTGTGTATTTCTTTCTCTTTTTCTCTATTATTGCAATATTTCTAATTTGATGCTTAAATTATCGTGAAATTTGGTAAATTCGTGTCGCGCTTATCATATCGTCGATGCAATCCATCCCAATGTCTATCTCTCTTTCTCTCTTCTCTATCTTTTACTATACATACTATCCTTCACATCCATCACACTATCCAACTATCCATCCAACTGTCCAACTGTCCACTTCTACTCCCATCCAACTCCTCAACTCCTGTCATCTCCTGTCGACTCCATTCCATGTCATCTCCATGTCCTCCATGTCCTGATGAACCTGTGCTCCATCTGCTCTCCCCTCGCAGGCTGTGTTTGCCTCATTGGTGCCCGAAATAACAGAACTGGTGGGACATCCCTCTAAATATGCTGGCAATTACCAGAAAAATCCCGCTAAAAAGTATGTCTCGATTCTATTGTCTCGTTGATTGCGACAATAATATGGTTGTATTGATCATTGAATTCATTTTGATTTCTAGTCACTATTATTGTCGACTTATTTTTTGCTATTACTTTTCATTTCGATTATTTCTTTATTCATTATTATTCTCTCATTTGTTTGTGTGACTGTTCTTCGCTATTAACTAATGAAGTCATAGTCAGACATGACATCGAAGTTGCAATTATTTAGTCATTAAAACTCTTCATTACATTTCAATTGAATACCATTTATATGTCGATAAACAGATCGATTCCCTAACTCTTAATATATCTGGAGTCATGTATTTTTGCGATTGTTTTTATTCTTGTTTGCCTTTTGACTAAAATACAGCATTTTTATCACTAGTTCTCATGCTTTTAGTGATGTACGAGATTTTTGACATTTCATTTGCTTTTAATACTAATTGTAATTAACGATTAAATAATAGTACATTTGATTGCATACATTGATGGCTATGTCTTCATTAATATAATGGTAAGAGAGACTCAAAATAACCGATAAGTACTACAGTATAGCGTATGTTATATGCCATACGAATATCTTGACAAATGGTTTGACTTAATATTAATAATTGAGTGAATCCTTACAAAATATAAGACATCTATTTTGATGTAAATCTATTAACTAATGAGAAAAAACAGTATAAGAGGTCATGTTATCTCAGGAACGGTGTAAACGCGACAATTGATTTGCGGTAATCATTTGATAACCATATGATATAAAGGGCTCCTAATTGTGTCATATATTCTCGTAGACAACCCGTCCATCCCTTCTCTCCATACTCTCTCCAAACTCTCCATCCAATGCTCTGTTTTACTCTATATTTTAACCATATGTTGGCCTTTGACCTTAGGCTGTATTTGCCTCATGTATACCAGAAATAATTGACTTAATTGGTTCACGACCTAAATATGGAGGAACATTCAAATCCGAGCGCCGGAGGTTTGCATATCATTTCTTAAATGTTTGAAACGCCCGAAAAAAGTTGTATTTTTTCATTATTCTTGCAAATTCTTTCCTCTCCTTATTCTGTATCCTTTACTTTAAGTTTATGTTTATGTGTGCTTTCCTTTCACTTTATTCTCTCTCTATTTGTTTTATTATTCTGTTTCACAATTATTTGGATTGTGTTTTGAAGAATACCTCTCTTATGACAAAACAAGCAAACCCTCAAACATTATGCCATCAAATTTGGAAAAGTGTTTTTGTGTGTATTTCGTGTTGTTTTTTGTGCCACAAAATACCCCGCAATCTACCAAATGGAGGCCTTATTCTTATGCACTGAAACCGAGTCTAGTATTTGACAATCAAATCGTTTTTTGAGTCCGATTTCGAGTCCATTTTGAGTCTCTCATTCCCATTCTGTTCACTTGCGAACAGTTACTCAATCCATATATTTGTCTCAAACAATATACGATTCTTTGGTTTTCATTTCTATTTCTTTCTCTACTAAACGTTTTTTAAATCATATTCTGTGACTAAAACACACAGACATATAGTAGTCTGCGGACACATCACGTACGAGAGTGTCAGTCACTTTCTTAAGGACTTTCTGCACGAAGACAGAGAGGATGTGGACGTAGAGGTTGTGTTTCTTCATAGAAAGCCACCGGACCTCGAGCTCGAAGGTATCATTTGTTGTTTCGGTTCCGATTGCCATCCATTGAATGGCTCCGGACTTACCGGATGTGTCATCCCATAAGTGCTAAAACATTTTTGTCACTTCTTTTGCCTCGCATTACAGGTCTGATTAAGCGTCACTTTACAACTGTTGAGTTCTTTCAGGGATCAGTCATGAATCCGATTGATTTGAATCGCGTTAAGGTATGTGTGGCTTATTATGCAGTCATATATTTGTAACACAATTACAAACACATCTATTTCTCTGTAACTATCCTTGAATTCCGTGAATCGCGAGACTCATGCAATCCATCGATCGATTCACTCATTGTGTTTGCCTTTAACTATAGATATGTTTGGTTTAAACCAATATTTGCTTTCATGTTATGTATGTATATATAATGTACATACATATAGGTTCACGACGCAGACGCCTGTCTAGTGTTGGCCAATAAGTACTGTCAGGATCCCGACGCCGAGGACGCGGCCAACATTATGCGAGTCATATCTATCAAGAATTATAGCGACGATATACGAGTAATTGATCCTTTCGTTTCACTTTTATCATTCAATTACAACTTTCTGTGTCAACACTTTATTCACTTATCGATCGCTTTTTTGTATTTGAGGTGATAATCCAATTAATGCAATACCACAATAAGGCATATCTACTCAACATTCCCTCTTGGAATTGGAAAAGAGGTATGGATTCTGATCCCTACTTATACCCACTCTTCTCACCACTTATTGTCCGACATTTTGATGCTTCTCATCAATAAAGGCGATGATGTCATATGTGTCAGCGAATTGAAGTTAGGTTTCATCGCACAGTCCTGTTTAGCCCCGGGATTCAGTACAATGATGGCCAATCTCTTTGCCATGAGATCATTCAAAACAGTAAATCAATTATAGCTTTTCTGCTAATGATTAGAAAGAGTAGAAAATAATGCATTTGTGTATTGGTAATAGTCTCCGGACATGCCTTCGTGGCAAAACGACTACATGTGCGGCACCGGAATGGAAATGTATACCGAGAATCTGAGTCCGGCGTTCGCGAACATGACGTTCGCTCAGGCGTCCGAACTCTGTTTCGTGAAACTCAAACTCCTATTGTTGGCCATTGAGGTGTACAACGATTGCCCACTGCCGTCGCGGTTGTAACAGTAGTTGGGATTCCCGTTAGTAGCGTAAGTTTCATGTTGTGTCCCTAAGAAGTAGCGAGTTTCACGACTACTTCAGTTTGCCACTCTGTAAGGGAGGGTATGCCAGCGCACCCACACCTCAACACCTATTTCTCATATATCTGTTTATTTGCTTTGAATTCAATTATAAAATATACAATTCCTTTGCATTAAACTGATTTACAATACATATTAAACAAACGTTTTAATACAAAGAACTATACTTTCAATGGATTTATATAAACTTTTTTTAGCAAATTTTATTTGAAATTCTCTGAGGAAGAGTAAACAGTACTATAAACATCACTGATTTATAGCACTGTTTACAATATTTATTAAGAATTATTGTTTCTATATTGATATAAAATGTTAAATTATATTTGTATTTATCTTATTAAACAATTTGTTGGTTTTAAAAACATACAGAATATAGCCTAAAGAATAGCCTTAAATTCTAAACTATATGTTTTTTGATAAATAAATGGTCTTTTATTCTTAAAGAATGTTTATTATCAAGAATTCTGCTCCAAATATGATGTGATTTATAATATATTGCAATTGTTCTCCACTTAAGCGCCCTTT